CGACCCTAGTGAGGATTAAGCGGTGTATAGATAATGGATGGATGGATTTATTTGTTGGCTATATTTTGTACTGTTGAACTAAATTTGCAAAGTAACTACAGTTAACATAGTGGAGTAAAAAGTACTATGTGTGCCTATAAATTGTAAAATAGAAGTATAATGTAAAATGGAGACACTCAAGCAGACTGCAAGTAATTTAAAATTGTGCAGCACTATAGTTACTTTCCATCGCTGTTAATTTCACCCTTCTGTAACACGTGAATGTATCTGGAATTTAGATTATTTTAAATGATCACAGTGGCTTTTGTCCTGTTTACGCTGCACCACACACATATATAGACACACAACCACAGCACATACTGACTCATCACAATAAGGTTACTGTGCATTTTCTGTCCTTTCTTTTCACCAGTAAAGTGAATTTGTGTTGATTTGGTGCCATCTAGCTGTAGGAAATTGAAATTTCTAGAAATCCTTCTTTCTTAAATCTTTTCTCTTGCATCTGCAAACAGCAACTGGACAGATAAAATCTATTATTATTGTCCTCACACTGAATTAAATCTTCCATAACTTTACTGCCTTACAAAAAAGACAATATTTTAACCAATTTCTTTAACTTTTTGCTGCTATTTCAACTTGTGATAATGAATCTGTAAGTGTGTTTGGATATTTTTTGGTTTGCTTCCTCAGCCATGACATTAATAGGACATAATTTCGTGGCTATATATACACAACTGGTCATGTGTAATATTGGACACTTGCCTTATGAAGAGGGAGTGAGGTTGAAAATAGTTTCCATTTTTGCCTAATTGATTTCATTAGCGGCTACTAACTGATATAAAGCTGTTGTGCATTCCGGCCTTTTAAAAAAAACAACTCAAATGTGTAAAAACCAAGAGCCTCTTTATTAAAACGCTTCAAAAGTCAAACAAATGAAGCTGGCATATTGTGGTGGAAAAAAAAAAAAAAACACACTTCAGCAGGAGTGAAAATAAAACTTACAATACTGATGAAAATGTTGATACACTCCAGGTGCAAAGACCGACTGCATTGCTGGAAAAAAAAACACGAGGCGATCAGCACATGAGAACCTCATATTTGTCTTGTTTGATGTACGAACCTCAACGGAGCAAAAGACTGATGTGATGCTCAGTCTCACACGTCTTTGACAGGATGAAACCTGAAGAGTGAGCGAGTGATCGGGTCTATGTGAAGCTCATCGTGGTACAAGATTAGAAAACAATGAAAGTTACATTAAAAAAAAACGTACTAAATCGATGCACAGTGCCTGAGAATAAACTGTATAAATTAGTCTGCAACTGGACTCACCGATACATTTTCCAAAGACATCAAACTCAGAACATGCAGAACACGAGGGAGTACGATTCCTGCTGCCAAGACTAACCCCTCAGCTTTAGGTTTTAAATTTTACAGTACATGCCTTCATGTGCAAATCAATAATTCAAATCTAGACCTTACAGAGGCAGATCTCTTTCCAAATACAAGTACCAGTACAAAAATAAGAAACAAAACAAACATGGATGGGGACTTATTCGAATAAAAAGACAGCTTAGTTTAAACATTGTTTGGGCGTTACATCAAACTCAAAAATATATATATATAAAAAAACAAATCACACTTTTTCTCAAAGGAATATTCATATTTTCACGACTATTGTTACTCTTCTGGGACACTTTTACCCAGTTTTTCCATTCTTCACACATCAGGGAACAAAATCAATCATGTTCACGTGTCGTTAAACCTTACTTTGTAACTCAAACTAAAAAACAAAACCTGGATCACTCTGTGTTTAAAAAGAACGTTCAAAAAGCATTTTTGGCCAACAGCCTATTTTAGTCAGAAACACCTCGCTGATGGATGACAAACATGAAAACATTTGTTATTCCAGCACTGCAACACACACACCGTTATGTTATCTTAATACTGAGTCAGTTCTACGACCCCACAATCACCAAGTAGCAAGTTGTCGTGCCGTTTTCTGCGATTTTCTCAACTACACACAACTCGCTGCGAGACAAAGCTTCATGCTACAACCCTGAGACACCAACAATATTTGAACACAGTGGACATGTAGTGCCAAAAACATACAAGCGTGATAAATAATGAACATAATTAGTGACGCTCACTAATGGAGAGAAGTGTGTGCCCGTCATATTTCCTAAAACCTGTCCTGCAGGGTTTTATGAGGTCTGACACTGAGGGGAAGGAAACCAAGCTTCCTGCTTGCTAACCACAGTCACCGATGTGTTCACCGAGTACATTCATTATTTCACGTGCTACATTTAGATTTTTGGAGAAAAGAACCTACGAACAGTTGCTGGTTACTCGTCAGAGTAGCTGGTAGAAAAGACCACAAGCCAACCACGGTTATAAAAAGTACTGCCATTTGGCTGGTGAATAGTGTTGCTTCGTGTCTCACCCTGACTAACACGCCAGCACATTAGTCAGAAGTGAGAGAAGAAAAGAGGAGGATGGACCACCTTTGTTACTGCTATAACGTGCCAAACCCGCTACATTTCAACACCAAGCAGAATGATGTCAACATGCTTTTGCTGGTGAACAGAAATCAACACCCACAGTGATAAAGTTCATTACAGGATCCTGTAAAATGGCAAACATTATGCACAGCTAGCACAGGTGTTTGGTCAGTCTTTAAATGTAGTATTAAAGCCATGAAATCTATGAGTTCTAAGCAGTACACAAATGGTCACTCTAGGTATCAGGAGAACATGTAAAACCGTGCAAGATACCAGTAAACTGTTCCAGCTAGAAGCAGTAGAGAAATCTCACTGAGATGTTCTGAACAACCTCATGACTAGAAAATCAAGTGTATCTTCAGTTAAGGCTCTACTCTTATCACCAATGTAGCACAGTACTGACTTTTGATATAAAAAATAAAAAATCTACATCAAAACATCTGATTATTTACACAATGTCAGAGTAGATAAGGGTACAGCTTCAGTACACTGATAATAAATCCATCAGAGTGAAGGATACAAGGCTAGCATTTCAATTTGCTTGTTTACAGTCCTCATCTGTGATTGCTGCATGGCAGCCTCAGCTGAAATAGAAATTGGCTCGTTACTGGCTTTTGTCTTGTCTATGTGATCGAAGGATTCTTTTCCACTGTGAAGCAAAAAACACAACCAACAGTCTGTAATGTTCAATCAGGAGTTTTCTTTTTGAGGCCTGAAGAGAATATCGTCTGTAAACACTGGAGGAAAACATGAGTATTTGAGTTCTGATGGTCTCAGAAATGTCCAAAAGGTGATCTTGTTGTTTATGCTACCGGTTTGAGGACTGAGCGTAAACACCTCCCCTCCTTCGTGAGCTCTCTGGTGAAACACATGCATGGCAGAGGGATCGCCTCCTCCCGACGAGCAATCGTGTTGAACTTGCACTTCTTGAGGTGGTCGGCCATGCTGGCAATGTTTGCAAACTTCCACTCGTTCACTGTACCGAAGGCCGTGCTGAACCGCCACACCTGAATAAAAACAGAACGATGATGGATGTGATGTCAATGATTTCACATGGTGAGAACAACAGAGAAGACAAGCGAGAATTGTTATCATATAGAGGACAAACCTTGTCTGTGATCTGCCATGAAGGAGACCCGTCATCACGCCGCTTCTTCTCCCACAGCAGGACGACCATGCCGCGCATCTGCAGCAGGCTG